TTGCCTTGGACACCCGATCGTGGATGACCGGTACTCCCAAATACCGGCCAAGATTCAGGGTTTGTGGAATCTCTAGATCGGCGCTCAGGGCAGCTCGCCTGTCCGATGTCACATTGCTGGAGAAGAACACTCGAGATTTCGGCTTGCTCACTTGTTGCCCCGACGCTGCCCCGAAACGCTCGAAACACTGTAGAATAGCTTGAACTTGTTGCGTCGAGGCTTCCCCAAACAAGATTAAATCATCTGCAAAAAACAAATGTGATAGGGCCGGCCCGTCACTGGTCAACCTGATAGGTTGCCAATTCCCGTCCCTAACAGAATCATTAATGAGATGACTTAACCGTTCCATGCATAAAGTAAAAAGATAGGGAGAGAGGGGGCATCCCTGTCTAAGACCTCGCGAGGGTGAGAACGGATCAGTAAGACCCCCGTTCCATTGAATTTGCATGGTAGCTGATGTGATGCAGGCCATAGTCACCTCGATTAGCTTCGCGGGAGCCCCTGCCGCCTCCAACGTATCTCGCACAAACTCCCAGCGGATCCGGTCATACGCCTTTGCCAAGTCTACTTTTAGCACCATCCAACCCTTTCTTCCTTTCTTCGCCCGCATGGAGTGCACCACTTCCTGTAGTATGCAGATGTTATCCGTTATGTGCCTGCCCGGAACGAAACTTGTTTGGGTCTCGTGGACTAGCTGGGGCATCAAAGGTTTCAGCTTCTCCGCAATACTCTTCGTTAGGACCTTGTATGCCACATTGCATAGACTGATGGGCCGGAACTGCTCGATCGCAGTCGGAGTTGTCACCTTAGGAATTAGAACCAGGACGGTCGCATTGATATCTCGAATGCAACTCGGCTGATCCCAGCACCTCTTAAGCAGGTCAGTCACCGAGGAACCTATCGTCGTCCAACACCGCTGGAAGAAGAGGGGGTTTAGGCCGTCCTTACCTGGAGCTTTCAACGCTCCCATCGATCGGATTGCCTGCAGGAAGTCTTCCGACGTCGGTTGCCTGCCAATATCCTGCCATTCTCTAGTCTCCAAGACAGGAAAATCTCGGGGAAGGGGAATAGCAGTCGCGTTCTCATCAGTGTACAACCATGCGAAAAAGGACATCGCAAGTTGCTGGAGCTCCGACTCCTCATCCACCCATTCCCCCGCCGAGTTTTTCAAGGTCACTATGCGGTTTCTTTTTCTCCGCGCCAAGGTCCTGGAATGGAAATAGGACGTGTTCCTGTCACCCGACGATATCCACTCAAGGCGGGACTTCTGACACCAAAGTAGCTCCTCTTGAAACAAAACCAGCTCGAGCTCTTCTCTTGCACTCTCCAACTGAGCTGACATAGACGAGGAGCCGTCTCTGAACTCCAGCCTCTCTATCCGCTTCAATAGTGCCTCTTTCCTTCGCAAAATATGGCCGAAAACGTGAGCATTCCACTGTATAGCGTCACTAGCAAAGGCTTTGGCGGACTGTAGGAAGGAGTCCCCCTTAGCCCATGCTGCCTCTAACATATTTCTGAAGTCATCATGCGTTAACCAAGCCGCTAGGAACCGAAAAGGTCGGGGCCCTCCTGGTTGAGTAGGGGAATTCGTAGTCACCAGGATCGGTCGGTGATCAGATTTGATCCTAGGCAAGTGGCGCACAGAAGTTTCCGGGCAGGCCGTCATCCAGCCGTTATTCGATAATGCTCGATCAAGCCTCTCGCGAACTCCATTTCTGAACCAAGTGTACGAGGGCCCGTTAAAACCCAAGTCCACTAGGCTCGCATCATTCACACAGTCCTGAAAGTCCCGAATCCTGCTGGCGTCAAACGGAGCTCCCCCCAATTTTTCTGACGGGTGGAGAATGGAATTAAAGTCGCCAACAATTAGCCACGGAATCTCTTGCTCCTCAGCAATCCCTTTCAGCGCCTCCCAGAGTTGACGACGTTGGACAGGTGTCGGGTTTGCATACACAGCCGTGAGATTCCACTGATTTTCTGGTCTCCCTGCCACATGCACACGTACCTGAATGTATTGGCTATGGCTATCTACCCTGTTAATCGTGAAGTCCCCCTCATTCCACAGAAGCCAGATACCCCCTGAGAAACCCGAAGCATCCACAATTAACTGCTTATCGAAGCCCATCTCATTGATCACAGTTTGCGCTGTTGCCCCACTGATCCGAGGCTCCACAATAATCACTATATTTGGTCTATAACGCCGCTTATACTCCTTATAGGCTCGGATGAATTTCCGACTTCCAGCTCCCCTACAGTTCCAAGTAAAGATACACGGATTCATTGGGTGAGGTGGATTTCTGAGGCCCTTTCCTGTGTCCCGTTGGTCGGGGTGAGCCCCCCCAAATATGCGTCCTCTGTCAGCATCTCTTGTTCAGGTTGGATAGAATGGTCTTCTTCTCCCTGCATCTCCACCAAATTCGGGGGACGCCCCCATGCTGCCGAGGCAAGTGTCTTATTATTCTCGGACAATGGAAATGCTTGGTCGGTTGGGGGCACTGGAGTTGTTGCAACCTCCGAGTGATTAGCCGGCCCAGAGCTCATCACACCTCTCGTCTCGCGATATGCTCTAGGTAGCTGCGGCGACGTAGCTTGCATGGCCTTCACAGGCTCCGCCCCCCCCCCCCCCCCCATGCACACGTTCACTCTCACCTCCGTCCTTGGTCTTTCCTTTCCCACCGCCAGTACTCTTAGTGAGTTTATCGCCCATAACCGCCTCGCGGACTGGGTTGTCTTTTCCGTTCAGTTTGGCACTAGGTTCTTCCATACTGCTTTGAGTTTCCTCGGTGGCTAGTACACTAAACCGTGAACCTCCCTTCGCTTGATCTCCCTGGCTAGTTCTCGTGGGTCCCTTGGATGCCTGGCCAACCATCTCCTTCCGCACTGTCCTGGGTTTACGCTTAGCTATCATCCATTCCCCATATGTCTTCTCTGGTTCCTTCACTTGTGATTTCTCTTGCATTATGGGAGCCTCGGTGTCCATCGAGTCCGGGGCAGCCGTGCAATAGCATTTTGAGCGCTCGAAGTACTTCCCACAATTAAGGAAGATCTTCTCGAGTCCCTCATACTGTATGTAGTAGGTCACCCCATGGATTTTGAATTGTGAAAGCAAGGGTTTGGTTAGGTCCACTTGCACACATACCCGAGCGTAGTCCAGCCGAGCCCCTGTAGCAGTGGCTTGGTCAACTCGCAATGGTTTCCCTATGCGGCCCACGATCTTCATTACTGCCTCCTTATGAAAGAAATGGATGGGTATGTCCAGCAGGCGTGCCCAGACCAAGGTAGATGATATCTCGTGGTTGTAGGACCGGAAATGCTTGTCCCACATATGGACCGTGAGGTAATTGTCGCCCATCATCCATGGCCCACCCGTTAGGGCACGCTCGTAGTCAATCCCGCTCGTGAAACGAACCAAGTAGTATCCGTTCTTGACTGACGAAACTTGAATTCCGCCCGCCTTTGCCCACAGGTCGTTCAGCCGCTTCGATATGCCCGTGTACGACACCGACCGACCTAGGGCCTTGACAACTAGCGATGAACGCCATTCCCTGCAGAATTGTCGCTCTTCGGCTGCCGAGAACTGAATACTAGGGCAGAGTGGGTCATCGTCCGCTTCGAAGCCTTCCTCCCTCCCATCTTCCCTCATACCAGCTGCTATGTCTTCGGAGTCGGAGTCTGCAATGTACCAGGGCTCCAGCCTCTGCCTCTCACCAAATAGGCGGCGAGCAGCACCCCCCCCTGATCCCCAAGCATGTTTCGGGGACTGTTGCTCTCGGTGGTGATTACCCTTCTCCGTGTCAGGACTCGGATCAGCATCGACAAAGTGCACGTCAGATTCGTTGAGACTCTGTGGCTCCGGGACGGTTGGTTTCACCCTTTTCTTGCTTTGCTGAGCCTCCCAGTCCCCTTTAGGGTTGGGAGACGAGGACGCGGTCGGTGGTCTACGTTGTCCCGTCACCGACTCCGCCGGAGGAGAGCCCCCGTGGACCCCTTCAGGCGGCGGCGAGGCCCCCGCCGTCATGCCGTAGCGAGAAAAACCCTAGCAAAGTTTTCGTGAGCAAAATCGCCTCTCCGAGGATTACGGAGCAAAATTGTAATTTAAAAAAGAAGCATATAAGGGGTCGTTTTGCTTTATGGATTAAAAAATGAGGGTTTTGTAATTTAACAATCCAAGGATTTATCAAGGATTTGAGGCATCATGGATTTGTAACAATCCTTTGTTTGTTGGGATGTTTTTATCATGGATTTAAAGGTGTGGGATTTACTACTTGAAGTCAAAAATTACATTACTGCCCTTCTCTATATGTTTGACATGTTTATGATATGTACACAAAACAAGGACAAAACTTCAAAATTACCTTACTATCATTTTCTATATGTTTGACATGTTTATGATATGTACACAAAACAAGGACAATACATACTAATAAGCATAATGTTGCCACATGGACAATAATAATAAACGAGAAAATTCCGTTTTAACTTTTAACGTAACATAATCAATTACCAATTCTTTGTCCTCCTTTTCCAAAGTAACATATAACAACATATATTAGAATCGGGGGAACAAAGAATTACACGTTCCATGAAAAGGTCAAAGAAAACTAGAACACAAGAAATGATATAAAAAATATAACTCATGTTTGCACATTAATTGAACGTTTATATTATTCATTTATTGTTAATTATAATGTATAACAGTTAAATTTGAGGGCAACCTTGGAATATTAAAAGTGCATGAGGGTATATGGGTAAAATCTCATCAAGGATTTATGCCATATTCCAAATCCCACATCAACATGTGGGATTTATAAGTCCGTGGGGTCCACGGATTTGGACCCTTAAAATCCGTGGGCCCCACGGATTTGGTCTCCAAAAAAGGTGCAAACAAACAACGGATTGTACCTAAATCCTTGATAGTTGGTTTTTTGGTACCAAATCCATGTACCAAATCCTTGAAGCAAACGACCCCTAAATGTGTCTGGAGAGTAAAGCGTGGACCTACCACCTAAGCTTGAGGTTTTCATCTGAAGATGCTCCAGCCTCCAAGAACGGTTTAGCAACAAAGGAGAGGCTTCTACATAGAAAATGCTCCCCCAACTCGACTTGCCCAGTGTGTCAGAACCAAATGAGTCATTAATACATTGCATCTTCTCTTGTGGTCACACGAGTAGCTCCTGGAACAATACATCATACCATCTCTCCCCCCTCCCCTTATAAGCTACAAATTTCCTCGGGTGGTTCTACTTTCTCAAAGATACCCTCCACCCTCAATCCCTATTTCACATTATCTTCGTCTTCCTTTGTCAGAATATCTGGAAGACAAGGAATGAATGCACTTTCAAAAATCGAAACTCGTGGCACCGAATATTTGTATGCAAGCTGACATTAAGCACATAATAACAATGACCAAGGTCATTGTCTTGTTTCCTTAGAGACTCAATCTAAGGAATTTTCACTAGCCCAACATTCTTAAACAACCCAAAATCCCCCCAAGACAAACATCAACTAACCAACTCACCGTAAGTGGTGTCTTTGGCCAATCCACCTATGAAAATCTTCCCGCAAGGTAAAGAGTACAATGTCAATAGCTACCCAACCACAACTCCACAAGTAAGCAAAGAGCCAAGTCCAAAAGCAGAACAACTACGAAAGCTAAAAGAGATTGGAACTTTTCAGTTAACTGGCATCCGAATTGTTGGGAATGAATAACTTTGAAAGCTATATTGAATTAATTATTCATTATTTTTCTATATACGAAAATAGAAGGATAATTAATAAAAAGAATATTATGGAGATAATTAGAATTAATTATCTTAATATAATATGTTTTAAATTATGGGAGTAATTATCTCCCTAATTAAAATGTGACATATTCCCAAAGAAAGAGGGAATATTCTGGGTTTTCTGCTCCTATAAATAGCAGACCCCCCAGACCCTCTAAACACACCTCAGAAGAGCAGAAACACGAGAGAGAGTGAATTCATAGAGCTCCGGTTTTTCGCACAAAACCGATGAGCAACAAAATTAGAATGACTGTTTTATCCTGTTGGCGACCGGCTGATAGTCTGCTGTGCGCAATACGAGGCAGTGCCGCGAACGTCTTAAAGAGAGCGACCTAGTCCGCGACTCAGCCAGATCGATAACCCTAAATTTTCTGTTCGATTTCTATAATTAATTCAATATAGCTTTCAAAGCTATTCATTCCATACACGAATTTCCAACAAGCGAACTAAAATTATCATACACTCTACAGAAAGATCGCAGGATTAGAGTAAAGAAAGTACGCACTCTGGGCTTGCACCGTCACTATCGTTCCTCGACCTGGAACCCATCTCTCAGTTTGGCAGTTCGAGGCTCGAGAAATTCAATGATTGAGATGAGCAATGGCCTCTGGGTGGGGAGTTTGGAATTTTGGATCGACGATAGGAGAGATACTAAGCTTTGAAGGGGAATGGAAAAAATTGTTAGGGTTTATTTGTTGTGAAGCCAGCGCACGCTACTGGTAATTATTAAGGAGCTGAGGGAAAGAGAAGCTAGCTTGATGGTGCTACGAGGAGGGCGAATTGTCGGTTCTGTCCCTAATCCCGCCAATACGGATGTTTCCCGGCGGGTTGGAGATATGCCACGTGTTATGGGGCAGTTTTTTTTTGTTATTGTTCAGGCGGACTCCAGATTCCACTGTCCAAAGCCCAGCGGCCCCAACCCGGTCCATGTTCACCTTTCAACGAGTTTGGGCGCATCATCTCTATCTCTAGATAATAAATAAAAGCCGAATGATGAAAACTGTTGCTCCATTTCAAATTTCCTGCAACGAGAGTGATTATAGGAAGGACATTTTGGTCTTCACAATTGCTTATTTTCTTATTTATTTATCATAAAAAAGGCATGCACTGGGATTTGAACCTTGGTCTCTTTAAACGCAAGCAAGGATCATAACCAATCACACTAAGTATATTTATTGTATTTATTTAAATTCAAACATACACGAACCTAAATTATGAAAATCATATGACTTTTTAACGATTAGTTGGCCACTGAATCTCCCGTAAGTACTTATTTGGTATTTTAATACTTTGATTATTTTAGTTGTAGTTTAATACTTAATTTAAATTTCTATCTATTTTATAAATATACAATAGCCCTAAAATTGCAGCCCAAATATCACTGGTTCGAATTACTATGGAGAAATTATATCTTTGTGCAAACTATATGAGACTGGTTCTTTTAATGTTTTAGTCGGGATAACCGCTACATTTTAAACTTCTTCATAATCTGGCATGATTGGATCCAATGATCATTATACAAGATTGTGGCTGGCTCATTTCACCACTTTTTGGCGTGTTAATGAATTTGTAGGACAATGACAGTCTACATCTACACTCATCACAATCTACACATCATATAAATGTGAAATGTGAAATGAGAAAAGAGGGATTTCATTTCAAATTTGATGCGTACAGAGCAATTTTTTAGGGGTAAATTTAGAAGATGCCAGTGCGGTCGGTCTGTTGAGCATGAAAGTAAAAATATGTTTTCATTTAAACGGGCCCAAACTGTTATTTGGCCCACTAATCGTGCACCCATCGCCAATGCAGTCAAATTCGGGATTTTGATCGTAAAATCGTAGGATTTTAGGATTTTACTTAGGGATTCCGATCTTGATTTTACTATAAAATCGGTGGACCTTAAAATCGTTTAAAATCGGGACTAAAATCGATAAAATCGTAAAATAGTACCGAAATCTGGATTTTGATCGTAAGAGAACAAAATAGGTGGTTTGAGCCAATTTAAAATAAGTATAACTGTTTCAGCGGAAAGGGCAATGGAATCTTCTCAGATATTTTTCTATTAGAAAAATATTCAAAAATAATAAAAACAACCAAATTAGGGTTCGGTTAATCTCTTTCCCTTCACCCCATTTAACTTATTGGTAAAACACCTGTCCTAATATTGGAAGTATGTAAGAACTAACATCATTATTAACTAATTAATTTATTAATGAATATATTTGTACCAAGCCACTAACATTACTTATTTTATTGGAGTTCAATTATTTTTAGTTTTAAATCATACTTAGTAGACGATGTCGAAATATTACTTTGAGTTAAACAACCTAGACATAACATGAAAATAAGAGCCAAACCCATGAACTATATCCCTTCATCATGAATTATTTTGAGTTACACATTAAATAACAATTAAAATAGTGATTTTGGAACATTAATCTTGAGAATTATCTTATGAAAAAAAAATCTTCTGAATTATCATTTTAAATGCTATGTGTTTTTGTGATATTAATAATTTACCTTATTAATATTCTTATATGCTATGTTCTATATGGTACTTAAAATCCTACGATTTTACGATTCGATTATACGATTTTGATTTTACCCCAGTTTTCGATTTTAGGTAAAATCTCGATTTTAACTGCTTTGCCCATCGCAGCCTCTCCAAATCTTCCTATTCTACTCGCCGGGTCATCTCCTCCACTACAAAATATCTCCTCATGTACTCAAAGTTCTCACTGAAACTTAATATCTACAACTTAGGCGCAGAGGGAGCAACCGATGGATTGTAGCGACCCCCACTATTTTGATAGCTAATCAAGAAGAGCGCGTTTGTTTAGTTGTATGGTGATTCACTTAATTAACAATTTTTATTTCGTTGACAGCCTCCTCTCCGCAATTGTATTGTGTTCACGAAGATCTGAAGGAGCAAGTGCAACAGGTCCAGAGGTAAACAATATGTATAAAGCGTTGGCCAAATTGAATTGAGTCATTCTACTTGGAATATGAAGATTTTTGCTTAATTGCTTTGGTTCGTGATACAACTATGTTATGTTTGAAGGTAGACCAACGCAAACAACAGCACAGCTCCAGGGCTATTTTGCACATTAAGTAGTTGGGGCATTAATTGATAATTATTTGGGATTATTCCTACAAGTACATAATTTGGAACGTGCCATTATCTTGCATTGATTAATAGTTGTTTGAGATTTTTCAAATGAGTGATTTGACATGTTAAACTCTCTTATTTTTGAAAATGGAGTCTTCGAAGTGGAATATGAAGATTTTGGATTAAGCTTGGTTTCGTAACGCTCTTATGGGTGTTTATTCTCTAAAATGCAGCTGTCTTTCAAAGTGCCCGTTGCAAATGGCAAGTCAGGATACAACGATGGTACCGGTACACGTTTATATCATTAGTAGGTAGCAGATTGTGTCCATTCTACTATATCATTTAGCTAAATACTTAGTTGTTCTTTTCAACTAAAAATTATGCTTAAATGCTGTGATTGGCCTCAGAAATGTATGTCTTTGCATTAACTGTTAATGATTGTGAGTTTTGGTTTAATGGTGAAAAGTCCATTTATTTAGAAGTCTAAATTGGGCAAACCTATTGGACAATAGGAATGTCATACATTAGTGTCGTGGGAGGTTTGTTTGATGTCTCAGAGTGTTAGATTTTTAAGAAGGTTGTTTGTTGTGGCAGAGAGTCCCTAAAGCTAGCGAGGTATTCCTATGTGGGCTTTTTCTTTGTTTGACTTTTTCTCGCCTTTTTTCTTATCTCTTTTTCTATTTTTTGTTTTTGTGTGCTACCTTCAGTTGCTACGTCTTCATTTGTGAGTCATCTATACTTTTCTTATTCAGTGCCTAAAAATCATATATACTCGATTGCATAGTAGTTACTAATAGATACATTTATACCAATAGAGAGATTTTAAGATTTATCAGTTGTTAGTTTTAATATATACTTACATTGGTTGTTTATGTAGTTTTCTTTGTAATATTTCTCATTATACAACTAATTACTATGGCTACGTAGTTGTATAAGTGGGGGTTGGACATGATAGTTCTTAGAAGCATCAATACTTGAAGGTTATTATAATGACCAAATTCTAAAGTTATGGTTTGCCTTCAGCTTGCTTGGAGCATTTCAATTATGCATCAATTGTTCTCTCCGTGTAGTTAACTCTCAGACAAATCGAAAATCTTGCTGATATGTGCTTGATTGTAGTTAAATTTAGGGTTCTACTGCATTGTTGCTTTACTCTTTTTTCGTGGTTGAGTCTGCTTCAAAAAATTTAGTTTGATTTCAGAAAATTTTGCTTCTGCAGTCCTGTCTTGCCACCAACGCATTCAATAGATGGAGACGGGAGAGGCGAAGACTATTTTTGTGTTGTTGTTGCTGGTTTAGGGATCGGTTTGTGAAGAAGAGGGAGAAGAGAGGGGGGAAGGGAAATGCAGGAGAGGGGGATAACTCTTTTCTCCGACAAAAATGGAGTGAAGAAAGGAATTATGATCAGTAAGAATATGGCTATCTTACATAACGGTCTCTATTCTGTTTGAATTGAGCTTGAGAGGCAGTGATAAGGACGAGCTGCAACCAATTCATAGTGAGAAGAGAGCTATGAACTGTGATCATGTCTTATTTCAAGTTAGAAGGTAGTTTCAGTATAAGGATTATTTAATTTGACAAGTTGTTTCGTCCATGATTCTTGGTAGTTTCAGTGCCATTCTAGCCAATGTTTAGTCTGTAATTTTTGAGAATTGATGTGCGAGTAATGACTTTCACTTAGCTTCAACTATTATGTGTGTATTTATTGGCATGTGATAGAATTCTCTTTTCCTTTTCATTGAATTCATTTTCATACTCTAATTGTATTATTTGTACATAGGCAAATCATGCTCGAGATGGCAACTCGCTGATATGGCTGGTGCAAGGAATGAAGCCATCATTACAATTCAGACCGACAACGGGGAGGGATGCCCAGGACTAATTCAATGATGATTGATGATGGTATAATAAAAACTGCAGTCTGCATCAGCACCGATTTCTAGGCCTAAGTAAAGGTATTCAATCCAGAACTCTGCTTAGCGCTAAAAATTGCCCTCACCCAACCTTGATCCTGTTTGACCCACTTCTGAAGAGTCAAGATATATGACTAATCTTCCCCGTTCGTATTTTCTTATTGATTCTTTCTGACCCTGTAGGTTGGGGCGGGTCGGGAAGAATTGGATTAGTGGGTCGGTCCTAATCAAGTGGAATCCCAATCCCTTCACTCTCACTTGCTTTCTCTCCCATTCCACAAGTGGGTAACATACAGTAATCCGGCCAACGGGCCGGGTAATAAGCTAGTAATGATTTATGTGAGGTTATCCATTTTTTTATAACGTTTAATTTCAAAATTATTTCAGGAACTCATTCATTTAACTCGAAAACACATTTTTTTACAGGGAAAATACATTTTATTAAGGATGAATGTTCCATGCGAATTATATCTCTCACGTGCTTTATCGATATGAGAAATGTCT